GGCCAGGATCAATGGACTTGAATTCCCTCTTCTGTTCTTTGAATGCAGACTTACTATATGATATGCTACGTTGTCATCTTCCCTCATTCCTTTCATAATAGAAAAACTCTCTTTTGGTGTCACTAGATGTGAAGATTCAAGCAAAGCATTTCATGTAGTAATCTTATTTAACCATTACAATAACCCTGTGAGATAGGCATACTATTCACATTAGAGATGTAAAAACTTGATTAAACACTTAACCCAGAGATGACTACTAGTAATTTGCAGAATAATGATTTGAATGCAGGCTAATTTTATTTATTTATTTATTGTATTTATTGAGATGGAGTCTCGCTCTGTGGCACAGGCTGGAGCGTAGTGGCACAGTCTCAGCTCACTGCAACCTTCGCTTCCTGGGTTCAAGCGATTCTCCTGCCTCAGGTACCTGAGTAGCTGGGATTACAGCTGCGCACCTCCATGCCCAGCTAATTTTTATCTTTTTAGTAGAGACAAGGGGTTTCACCATGTTGCCCAGACTGGTCTCAAGCTCCTAACCTCAAGTGATCCACCTGCCTCAACCTCCCAAAGTGCTGGGATTACAGGCATGAGCCACCGCGCCCGACCTGAATGCAGGCCAATTTTTATTCAGAGTCTGTTCTGACATCCTAGCAGTTCTGCCTCTCCCAGTCTGCATTTTATGTAGTCAAGGTTGCACTGGATGTGGTCCTTGTTGCTTTTAGTCCTAAAATCTTATAAGTGATTATATGCCTGTGACACTGAAGAGTGCCTTCATTAGCACATTCAGTTCCTCTTGTCCACCCAAGCTCCAGGGTCATACTTTCTACCATCCAATACTGGAGAATCAACGTGGCATTCCTGACTCTCCTAGAGTCCTAGGAAAGACTTAAAGTAGTTTTATTGAATATTTATCTCTTTTGGCAAAATTGTATCAGAGAGTTTTTTTGACAAAATAGTTCTCCAAACCATGCTGAAAAGGTACACTTTAGAGTTCCAAGGCCAGGCGCAGTGGCTTATGCCTGTAATCCTAGCACTTTGGGAGACTGAGGGGAAGGATCGCCTGAGCCCATGAGTTCAAGACCAGGCTGGCCAACATAGGGAGACCTCTCTCTACAAAAAAATCCAAAAATTAGCTGGGTGCAGTGGTACACGCCTGTGGCCCTAGCTATTCAGGAGGCTGAGGTGGGAGGATTGCTTGAGCCCAAGAGTTAGAAGCTGCAGTGAGTTATGCTCCAGCCACTGCACTCAGCCTTGGTGACTACTCTGTTTCAAAAAAAAAAAGACCCTGTTTCACAAAAAAAAAAAAAAGTTCTACATTCATCACAAAACACTCGTTTGCATTTGTCTTTTGTCCTTTGAGCCTTATTTTTTTTTAAAGACAGGGTCTCACTGTATTACCCAGGCTGGCCTTGACCTGGGCTCAAACATCACACCCAGCTACTTTATTTACTCTCAAATACTCTCCTATCCAACTGGCTACTTTCTTTTTTTTTCTTTTTCTTTTTTTTTGAGATAATGTCTCTGTCACCCAGGCTGGAGTACAGTAGTGTGATCTCGGCTCTGCACTCCCATCTCAGCCTCTCAAGTAGCTGGGACTACAGGCGTACAACACCATGCCTGGCTAACTGGCTACTTTTTATTTCCATAGACTTTATGGCACTAGGCCTTGTAGAAAAATATTAAGGTGTTAGTGTGTGGTGTGCTTTTTGAAAAAATGCTCACCAAGGTTAGAAAAACACTGGTGGTTTATTGGCAAAATCAATCTGTCAGCAGTTGATTCTTTTTTTTTTCTCTGAATTAGCTCTCTTAGAAGTAATCTGTTTGCTCATTCATTATAATTTCATACCTCTAAAACTGTGTGTGACAGCTGTAAAGGTTAATTCCAGTATCATGAAACATCTCCAGACTGAAGCAGAAGTGCATCAAGATCCTGATTTGTGTGTTTTTTTCTTCACTCTCGGTTTCCCTTTTATGCTTACTATTCATGCCCCTCACTGGAAAGTCACTTGGCCTCCTGAACAGCACTAACTCCAAACTTTACTTTTTTTTTGGCAGAGATGCAGAGGATGCTATTTATGGAAGAAATGGTTATGATTATGGCCAGTGTCGGCTTCGTGTGGAGTTCCCCAGGACTTATGGAGGTCGGGGTGGGTGGCCCCGTGGTGGGAGGAATGGGCCTCCTACAAGAAGATCTGATTTCCGAGTTCTTGTTTCAGGTATGTTCCTTTCAAACAGAATGAGATGATACATGTAAATTACTACTTAACACAGAGTCTATCTTCCAAGAAATGATAACTGTTATTCTTCAGTGCGTGGGACACTGGGGCTTTCTTTTCAATAGCCTGTATGCAGTGCCAGTCTGAAGCCCTGCCCTGGATTGCCAATGAGGCAAGTATCCTGCAAATGAAATTGCGCCTGGGAGTGCAGCCTTGGAAGAACATAAACATACTTCTTGTAAAGGAGTTTTCTAGTGGTGAGAAGGGAAGATAATGGGAAAACCCCTTGAGCTACAATTCTAAAGACTCTTCTTTTGGAATATACTTGGCATCAGACATGGTAGAAAGGCATTCCAGGAGCTAGATTTGAACAACTTACCCAGCCTCAGATCTTGAAGAAGATCAGATTTTGTGGTGGTTTTAGAATTAAATATTTTTTAAAACCCCGTAAGTTGGAGTCTTAGAGATTTTATTGGAAAGTATAGACTATTTCTGTCTAGTGTTTATAAGTGATGAAATGCTAAACTGGGAGGTTTATCTGTCTTCAAAATATTAACACACTGGAAAGACCTAGGGCCTTCTGCATATTGCATGGGAGTTTTAGGGCCCTGGTGGAATGAAGTATATTGAGGAGCGTGGCACCTTTTTAAGATGTGAATGTCACACAATCACAGCATACTCCTATGTGCTTAAATAGTGATACTTTCAGTATCTGCCTACCTTGTGTCCCTTTGTAATTTTTTAACCCCAGAACTCTATTCCCTCCTTCAGGATGTCATACATTATCTTTTTTTCTCTCCATGCTGCTCTGAAATCCTGCTTAGAAAACTATTAGGAAATGGCTGCAGTCCTGAGCTGTGAGCGGTAAACACAGCCTTTGAGAGCAGGAGCACATTTCCCTTTCATGACATCAGGTAGGGTTGTATGACTCCTGACTAGTTTTAGCATCTGAGTCTTACCTTCCCCCCCACTGTATTGAAGAATGTTGGTGATCTTTTAAGAGGTACTCTGTATAGTTTGTCATTCACACCTATAAGAAAACAAACTAGATTTTTTGTTGTTGTATTGTTACCTTCAGCTACTCTTTGGTTATTTCATTATCTGGTTTCAAAATTCCCATGTCCTGTGAAACCCTGTCAAGCAATAAATAATTGGTACTGTTAAATTTCATAATGGAAAAAGTTGGAACTCAAAGTATTAGGAGTTTGGCATTGATTTTAAAGGACAAAGAAAGAGGCTATGAACTCTCAGAGATACTATACCTGTAATGGGATGGACTTCTTGCTCTATTGAAAAGGTCTGGTCTCTGGAAGATGGGCTTAAAACCAGTTTCTCAAGGTGGTTTATTTACCACATGTAGTTCAGTGCTCTTTTCTGATTTCATGTCCCTTATCAAGGTTTATGATTTGGGGACCCTCAGGATTTAAGTGATCATGGAGAAGGGACCGTAGGTATTGCTGGCTCTTAACAGGGCAGTTAACATAGCTGAAGGATGTGGGCTTTCTTATGTTCTCCATGCCTAGGACTTCCTCCATCAGGCAGCTGGCAGGACCTGAAGGATCACATGCGAGAAGCTGGGGATGTCTGTTATGCTGATGTGCAGAAGGATGGAGTGGGGATGGTCGAGTATCTCAGAAAAGAAGATATGGAATATGCCCTGCGTAAACTGGATGACACCAAATTCCGCTCTCATGAGGTGGGTCCTTGCCTTCTGTTGAGGAGCTTGTACTCAAATCACTCCACTTGAACCTGACCTAGCAGAGGTAGCAAGAGGCCATGCCATTTGGTAACCTCACAGTACCATAAGAGATCTGTCTTAGGTGGACAAAGCCATGGAATTTGCTATGCCTAAGTCCTTCAGGGTCATAGCTGAGAGAAGTATGCATTCATAGTATGTTTGTTTTTTAATATGCTTTATTCTGCATATTAGTATCACATAACACAGTTTGGTCATGGTATTTGTAACCTGGAGAGAATACTAGTGCAGTTGGTCTTGATATCACCCCATTCACAACCAGCTTAAATGGCAGTATCCCTCTGTGAATTCAGCTGCCCCTTCTGTGGACCTAGGCTGAGCTCTATAGGCCAGCCTCTTCATCTCAGCCCTTCTAGGTCCTGCTGTCAGGGCTGAGCTGTCACTTCACTTTTTTCCCAGAGTAGTGCAGGATCCTCTCTGAAACTTGAGCTATTGTGACATTTTCTTTTTTAATTTTATAATTTTTATATTTCTCTAATTTTTGATTTTAGAGACAGAGTCTCATTATATTGCCCAGGCTGACCTTGAACTCCTGGGCCCACACAGCCCTCCCACCTCAGCCTCTCCAGTAGTTGGGACTGCAGGCATGCACCACTGTGCCAGGCTAAACCGTGACATTTTCTTGTGGTTAATTATCTCACCCTTGAGACTCAGTAGTTCTTGATGTCCTTCCTTGTAGGAAAGCAGCTGCTGTTTTGGATCTCAGTTTGACTGAAGTGATGACTATCCCTTTGGTACCACTGAGACCAGAAACCAGACCACCAATTGGACATTTTTTCTGGTTATTCTGTCCTGCCTTACTATGAGATTTACAGATGTTTGGAGACACAGGTCTCTGGGCTCATTTCTTTTTCTGAGGATTCATATAATTCCCTAGTTTTTGGCTTAGAGGTTGGTCCTTCCATAGTTTAATGATGCTTTTGTTCAGACTGTCCTCTAGGACTTGGAATTTGGAGCAGAAACAGAACAGCATTTGATCCTCAGTTATACTGCAAAGCAGGGCCTCAGAAAGGGTAACTCCAATTACTGACTTTCACCTAAGGTGAAAAAGCATCCGGGTTCTTTCCCCTTGGCATCTTAGGATCTTCCGAGAATGCTGGCTGAAGGCAGAGGGCCTGGGGACAAGTCAGCCTGGACATGACTCCTTTGCTGCTTATTAATTCCTTACCTTAACTACTCTTGGAACCTTGATTCCTTCATGGGCAAAATGGTCACATAATAGCACCTTCACAAGCCCTGTCAGGAATCTAGAGCAAGAGGATAACATCTAAAGCATCTAGCTCAGGTCCTCACATCTGGAAGGTATTAAATACAGGTTAGCTCCTTCCATAGATGCCCATCCAAAGATGCATATATGAGGTGGCAGGGGATTAAACTATATGACCCCTGAGATCCTTTCCAGTTCTTAGCTTTAAAGGGGGTCAATGGCAGTAATTCAGATATATTGTTTATAATAATTGAGTATCAACATGTCAAATTGGCATTTATTGTGTTACCTTGGGCAAATGATATAATTTAAGTCTTAATTTTCTTCATTCTTGAAGTGGGATAGTAAGAGTACCTACCTCATAATGTTATGAGGGTTTAATGAGATAGCCTAATGCCAGGTACAGAGTACACAGTAAGTGCTCAATATTTAACTATTATTGTTAGATGTTGGTTTGCTTATTCTTCTGGCTCTGATTTTTTTCCCCATTACTCTTTTCGGTTTTGTTTGCATTTCAGGGTGAAACTTCCTACATCCGAGTTTATCCTGAGAGAAGCACCAGCTATGGCTACTCACGGTCTCGGTCTGGGTCAAGGGGCCGTGACTCTCCATACCAAAGCAGGGGTTCCCCACACTACTTCTCTCCTTTCAGGCCCTACTGAGACAGGTGATGGGAATTTTTTCTTTATTTTTTAGGTTAACTGAGCTGCTTTGTGCTCAGAATCTACATTCCAGATTGAGGATTTAGTGTCTTAGGAAATTTTTTTAATTTTTTTTTTTTAAAGAAGAAAAAAAAAAACTACATAATTTCTACCAGGGCCATATTAGCAGTGAAACATTTTAAACTGCAGAAATTGTGGTTTTGGTTCAGAAACAAGTTGTATATTTTTCACCCCTGATTATGGGAAAAAAATCAGTTCTGTCTTTGTGGGTTGCTCTACTATGGAGATCAACAGTTACTGTGACTGAGTCGGCCCATTCTGTTTAGAAATATATTTTAAACGTTTAGTAATTGACATGTGTGGTTGTCCTTGATTAAGTACACAGATTTCACAAAATAGGCACACTAATTTTAAAAATCACTGAGTTGTAATCATAACTTGTACCCAGTTAGTAAGGAGCAGGGGTAGATAACTTTATTTATATGGGGATAGATAGTTGCTGATACTGGTTTGAGAATGTAAACTCTAAGAGTGGGTTCTGGGTTCTCTTTTAATTCAAGGCCAAGCTTGTAAATTAGGCTGCCTTAAAGAAGAAAAAAGCATTGCAGATAAAGGAAGGGAATGGGAAAAACAAACACACGGTGGCTTATGCTTGTGATCCCAGCACTTTGGGAGGCCAAAGCATGCCGGAGGATCCCTTGAGGCCAGGAGTTCAAGACCAGATAGGCAACATAGCAAGACCCCATCTCTACTTAAACAATTAACTGGACGTGGTGATGCACATACGTAGTCCCAGTTACTTAGGAGGCTGAGGCGGGAGGATCACTTGAGCCCAGGAGGCTGCAAGTTATCTGTGATCACACCACTGCACTCCAGCCTGGGTGACAGAGTGAGGCCCTGTCTCAGAAAACTAAAAAAATGACAAGCAACGTAAATACTATTGGCAAATTCTTAGCCAAAACCAACTTTGGCAGTTTGGTTAGAGGAAATACTCTCTGATTCTATCACTTTTATCCCTAAATAAGTTTCATTTATCCTTGGTATCCTGAGTTTTATCTTGGACTTATCTCAATTTAATAATCATTTTGGGGGTGGAGAGGGCTCCTTTTTCCCAGACCCAGGGCTAATTTTAGGATAAGTTCTCTTTTCCGAAAGAAACACTAGGTATGACTAGTATCCCTTTGGCATATAATCACTTTGTGGGATGGCAGATAGTTCTAGATTAGGAGTTCCCAAGCTCTAGTCTACTTTGAACACTCTTCAGACCTTAGTAGGAAGTTAGCCCTTTTCTAGAAAGAGAGTGGAAGCCCAAGAACAAATTCAGGTATGTTCGGTAAAAATAGGGCTGCTCAAATCACTGCAGATAGGCAACTAAAAATGACAGCCAGGGTTGTCATATAGTGATCAAGATGCTCCATCTACCAGTTACGTAGATAGAAGACACTTTCATGCAGTTGGAACAGTCCTTTGGGGGGAGTTAAAGGCAGATAAATAATGTCTTCCATACTGAACAGGCTTGTTAAGTGAATTCCCTGGAAGCTGACTTTTGCTTTTCCTTTCACCTCAGTTAGCATCAGGAACTCATTTTTGGGGCCCGATGTTTCCCAATTGTGTCTTCAGAAGAATCTGTTAAGAAATGCTTGAGCATCCATTTTTTCAGGTGACTGAAAAAAGCAGGAACATTAGTGTTCACAGTAAGAAAATACTGTCATTGTGCTTCCACATGGTCACAGAGTACCCGCTTTCCAGAATGAGCTACTCAGCTGTGTGGGAATGGCTCTTGTTCATCCAGCTTTGGCAAAGAGATATTACCTGTTTGAAAATAACAAAAGAGAATGTGATAGCTGAGCCTGCCGCCTAGCTGGCTCTACTGAGCTAACTGATCACTTAGTTTCTCATGGAAAATACGGAAGTAAATATAGCTACTACCCTGTTTTCCTAACTCGGAGTATCTGAAAGAATCAGTTCTAAGTGAAGCCAAATTCACCTTTTTCAGTAAGGAGTAGACAGGTTGATTAGCCACTAATATGCAGATAGGAGTAGAAGGAAAGACTGACCATGACCATGAACTCAGGTGGTCCCAAGAAGTCTGAAGTAAGGTTCTGTGTGGGAGACAGCATGTCTGATCAATAGATATGTCTGCTGAAGCCACAACTATCAGGCTCTGAGATGGAGAGTCTCCTTTCTCTCCACAGTTAACAGGTGATTTAGTGGATTGGAGGCATGATAAAAGTAGCTCATGGCCAGGCACGGTGGCTCACACCTGTAATCCCAGCACTTTGAGAGGCCGAGGCGGGCAGCTCACGGGGTCAGGAGATCGAGACCATCCTGGCTAATACGGTGAAACCCCATCTCTACTAAAAATACGAAAAATTAGCTGGGTGTGGTGGCGGGCGCCTGTAGTCCCAGCTACTCGGGAGGCTGAGGCAGGAGAATGGCATGAACCTGGGAGGCGGAGCTTGCAGTGAGCCAAGATCGCACCACTGCACTCCAGCCTGGGCAACAGAGCGAAACTCCGTCTCAAAAAAAAAAAAAAGTTTAGCTCACACATTTTCTAGCTGCCTTTCCCATCCTTGCTTCAACCAGAGCCTGCCTTTAACTGGCATCTTGAGATGACCAGGGCCAATGTCTTCTGTGGAGTCTGCTCAGAATGATTCTCCCTCAGGGGATATGCTGAACTGGAAGTTGGCACTTAGCAGTCTACCTGACTGCTTTTGGCTAGTCCCACTCCCAAAGGCCCAGAGGGGTAGTACAACTCCAGTACTCACTTACCTGCAGAGGAGATAAAAACAGTCAACCTATCCAAGGTTCTGGATTTTACTGTCAGCCCACGGTAATTTTAAAGCTTCTATTTAAAATATTTACAGTAGGTAGATGATGCAAATCTCTACACCAGCAGTTGTAAAGTGATGGCTCACAGACTGCACCTGGCTTGCAGGTGTGTTTTATTTGGCTTGGACGGTGAATTTGGCTTGAATTGGTTGCCAGCGCTTAAAATTTAAGAAATATCAGTGGGATGCAGTCGCTCACCCCTGTAATCCCAGCACTTTGGGAGGCTGAGGCGGGTGGATCACGAGGTCAAGAGTTCAAGACTAGCCTGGCCAAGATGGCAAAATCCCGTCTCTACTAAAAATACAAAAAAATTAGCCAGGCATGGTGGCAGGCACTTGTAATCCCAGCTACCAGGCAGGCTGAGGCAGGGAATTGCTTGAACCTGGGAGGCAAAGGTTGCAGTGAGCCAAGATTGCACTAAAGCCTGGGCGACCAAGCAAGACTCTGTCTCAAAAAAAAAAAAAGAAATATCACACAAAATGCCAGGTATCCAGGTTCTCCGGAGAAATGGGTTTACATTCCTGCCTGGCACCACTGATAGGGTAGCAGCCATGCTCCTCCTGCTTTGAGTGGGCACAGACTGAGTGCAGACCCTAATGGCATTTGAATCATGTCATAGAGGGGCAAAGATATGACAGAAACATCTGGGCTAAGGCCGCACAAAAGATTCCTTTTGGGAGGCTGAGGTGGGTGGATCACCTGAGGTCGGGAGATCGAGATAATCCTGGCTAACATGGTGAACCCTGCCTCTACTACAAATACAAAAAATTAGCCAGGCGTGGTGGTGCATGCCTGTAATCCCAGCTACTCGGGAGCCTGAGGCAGGAGAATCGCTTGAACCTGGGAGGCGGAGGTTGTGGTGAGCCGAGATTGTACCATTGCACTCCAGCCTGGACAACAAGAGCGAAATTGCATCTCAAAAAAAAAAAAGGATTCTTTTAGGAAAGGACTGGTTATTTTGTGGCACCCAGCCCAAAGCTAGACCTAACAAATATTTATTCATGGTATGAATACTAGAAAGTTGGAGCCGATTACAGGATCTGGCATGGTCTTAACTGTGGCTTTGAGAAACACAGAATGTCAGCTGCCCCTTTAGGCAGATCTTGAGCTCCAGATTTCCATCCACTCTAAACCTTTACCCCACTTCCCCCCAATCCTGTTTTGCTTATTCCTGTTACTACCTGCCCCCTAAAGGTATGACCCTGGACCCTACCGCCACCTTAATGTCACCATCTGTATGCACTTTATCCTTTTCAAAGTGCCTTCACATAGCATCTTTGGTCCTCACGCTTCCTGCTTCATTCCTAAGGTCACTGTGAGACTATCTGTTAAACCACTCTGGGCAACACCTACCTGGGGGGGCCACAAAATACTCCTCCACGACTCGATGGGAGTTTTGTAGTAATTCATCAGCACAATTGCCTTCTACCACATTGTCGGATCTCAGGTATAGACATCTACAAAACCCAGAAGCTCAAGGTTACCCTCTCAGAGAAGGGGGCTTTTAGGGGATGATGGAAGGGGCAAGAAGGAGAGAACAAGGAAGCGGTATATTCTTGAGTTAATGGGCACTGTTCAAAGATAGAGAAGCTGGGATCAACAGTAGACCAAATAACAGCCTACAGTTTATAGATTGTCCCAACAACCCTGAGAAGTAAGTGCTAATCACTTCTCTGGATTGATTTAACAAATAGTTTTTGATGATTATATGGGCAACTGTCTTTTGGTGGGGACAGGTAAAAGCAATTATAAAATAATATTTTAAATCTGACAGAAGTTAGCACAGCCTGCCAAAGGATAGAAAGGGTACCTAGTCTAGCCTGGGTGAGTAGCACATCCTCAGAATAGCTGGATTGGGGGATGAAGGTATGAGAAATGGACTTCTTGGCAGGTATAGCAGCATGAACCCCAAAGCAAGAGAACCCAGAGCTCAGAGATTCAGAGAAGGACAGGGAGTTCAGCAGGCTGGGGTGTGGTCTGCTGGGGTGGAAGATGAAGCTAGAAACCTAAGCAGAGATGGGGAAGCAAACTTGCCTCAAGAGTGACTTAAGGATGTTGGCTCCTAAGTAACAGACCTGGGATCTGAGCCCAATCTGGTACCCGTAAGATGAATGCTTTTGCCACCACAGCCCCTTTGGTGGATGGGTGCAGCTGCCCTTGAGCAGAATGTGTCACAAACAGCTCAAGAATCTCCCAGTGTTCTATGGGACCTAGTGAGTTTACTAAAGCCTTCAGATGGCAAACTGGTAAACACACAGGAGCTTGAACATATGCATCAGGCTTCACTATTGTTTCAAGGTGTAAAAGTGTGTAAACCTGCTTCCAGATACTTGGACTAAAAAAACAAGCAGTTTGTTATATCACTGATACAGTATTCAGTAGTAGCTATGCTCCTGCTTTGAGTGGGCACAGACTGAGGGCAGACCCTAATGGCATTTGAGTCATGTCGTAGAGGGACAAAGATGTGACAGGAACATCTGGGCTAAGGCTACACCTAAAAACTAAGTTGTCGGCCGGGCACGGTGTCTCACGCCTGTAATCCCAGCACTTTGGGAGGCCGAGGCGGGCGGATCACGAGGTCAGGAGATCGAGACCATCCTGGCTAACATGGTGAAGCCCCG